GGCAGCAACTCATAGAGTGGTTTGTACAGATAAAAATATATTACCAGGTTCTCAATAGTATTTTAATACCTGGGGACGTGGGTCGGCAGGGGTGGGGGGGCATGACAAAAAATGATTGCGAACCACTGCAATAAACGATCCAAAACTACATCGTCAAATATGTGTACGAACTGTGGTAGTTTTAGTTTTCGTTTCCTAAAAGTGCGCTAAAACATAATGGAATTTTTGAATCATTTTCATCTGCTGTTTATTGCACTAAGCTTTAATTGACCTATAGGGGGCAGCACTTGGTTTTCTGTTTTCACTATGGGGTCATAAGCTTATTGGATAAATGACGCCGGTGTTGAATGCAAGGTAATTAAGCAGTGGGCAGGCCAATGAAAATGGGCTTCTGTGTGATGATTGGACAAAATGTGTAAGAGGAGGAGGAACCCATTTTTAACCTTCCGTTCTGTTCCACATACCTTCATAAAGCGTCCTACTACCCTGGCTCTCTACATTCATACTTACAGCATCTCTCTTCCTGACCTCTTTGATCAGGTGACCTACAGTATCTAGATTCTCACCTGCATAACTCCAAACATACCTCTCAAGGGTCTTCAAGGGTAAAATATTAAGTTAAAAAATAACATTTTTTTTTTTTAGCATTAACTCAGCAATTCGCTCATTGTAAAATGAGAAGCAAACAACCAGAAGACTGTGCAGCAGACACCAGCACAGCGGCGTGCACATTTTATCACATGCCAGCTCCAACTGCGTGACCAGTTATGGGGTTGTTTTTTTTTGTTGTTTTTTTCTTCTCTCCTTTAAGTCATATGACATGGTTATGTTGCTTTTTCATCAAAGCTCTAAATTCTTCCATGCCTTACTTTCAGCAGCTTAAATCCTCCAATCTGCTGCCCAGCTGTTCTTATCAGTTTTCTACTGCAGCCAATTAGAACTGGTTCAAAACTGTTTCCCGTGGAACCTCATCACCTGTTTTCTCAGTCCGGGATTTGTATACCTATTTTTTCGAAAAAGGATGTCCAAAATTGTCACTTGTCTAAAAGACTTACATTTTTATTAAAAAAAAAAAAAAAACTAAGGTTGAATACGTGCGTTCATGTGTGAGTGTGTGCACGTCCTGTTTTCTGTTGTTTCTCCAGGCATCCATCTGTGAAATTCCTGCTCGACATTAGCAGCTATAATCAGGCCTGGTGCTGGTGTGTCACTGTGTTAGTATGTGGGTGAGTGGGAGAGTCCGCGGCTCATTTCACAGCCCAGAGACACTCATTACAGTTCTGCGAGCACCAAGAACATCTATGTTGGGTTACTGTTCCTTCTTTTTGTTGCGTTTTGAGTTTATAAAAAATGCAACTGACTGACTGCCCTTGATCAGAAACAATGGACTCATATAATCAGAATCTGTAAAAAAAAACCTGCCCAGGTGAGAAGAATAGATAGCGGGTGAGTTGAATAACAAACATTTGAGCAAAAATGTTAACCCCCCTTTGAAAAAGCAACACCGCCCTGAGATTGGAATTTCGTTTCACGTTTGCCTGAGCGTTCGGAAAGGATTTCTTCTGCTGTTGCTGTAGGACAATTACACA